ATACGCAATGCAGGATGGGACTAAGATCATTTATAGCAGCATTGACGTAAATATGAGTGAAGAAAGACTAATGGTATCAATATGTCTGTAATGACCGAAATAAAATTTATACCTTAACCTGAGGCCCCGAAAATCAGCTGTGACATTGAGTCACCAAATCTTAATTTTTCTGTTGGGATTGTGACCTAGAAATTAGGCCGACACCCCTGAACCCTCTACTGTGACGCCTCACTGTCTGCCGACCTTCACGCCTTTGACCTTCGACAGGCTTTGATGTCAACACATGTTTTTAGTATTATAATAACAGCCAGTACAACTTAACATTTGGCGCCGATGACCAGTCGCATTGCTGTGGTACTTGTTTATCAAAATTTTTTGTTTTCTAAAAATGATTTAAAGTTTAATTATAATAATTATATATAATTTTAATTTTGTTTAATATAATAATTCCTTTGATAAACAGTAATTGAAGATTTAAGAAATTAATTCCTGGCATTTTGTTGTTTTAATCATTAAATGATTGAAGATTTTTGACCAAAATTTTTTTAGCTACCTACATGTTTTTTTTCTAACTATGTTTTTAAAAAGTAATCAGTAATGTAATGCTTTATCTAAAAAGTAAGTTTTCATTTATTACCTACATTGTTGGGCTCAATTGCTTAGAATAATAAACAAATATATGATTAATTTTGATTTAAAGCTTGTGTTTATATATTAAGTTAAGTTATGATTTTTGAGTTGATTTAAAATAATAATTGATTACTATAATTTTCTGTAATTGAATCATGCAATTGTTTTGTGATATTGATCAGGGTAACTATTTTAATTAATAGTATAACTTTAATTAAGAAAATGCAGTTAACTAATTCTTCATAAATCAACTAAAATAGGATTTGATTTTGTATTTAAAATTGATGTTCAATGTTATTGATGTTTACACGAATGCCATATTGGTTAAGCAAAAATCGAACAGCTTTTATGTAATTGAATGATTACAATTTTAATTTTTTATTTAAACTTAAGGTTCACTTATTGAATAGTTTCATTTTTAAATAATAGTACTGCATTGTTTATATTAATATCAGAGGCTATTGAGAATTTCGCCGTTCCTGTTTTATGATACACCAATGATGCGGTGTTAAGAAGCTGTCCATGTTAGTCTCCACTAATGCCTATCCTTTTTCAATCATGTGCCATAAATTAGTGTGCTGATATTTATGGTGTTCCTTGTGGCTGTGCTCCTTCGATGTTGTGATCTACTATTATCCAATTTAACAAACCTTCTGCTGCAATTAAAAATAAAACGAACATTTTTGTGATAAACCAGAACTCATTTATTAAGTTTCCTTTTTAAGAACATTATTGTTTTTTAACATTTCAGACATCTCAAGGTAAACCTGCAACAGGTATGTGGAACTCTTTTACAATGATGTATTGATCCTTTTTTGTGTGTTTTTTTATATTTTTATCTCTAAGGGTTATTGCTTGCATCTTTATATACTTTTCACTTTTGTCGTAGTCACGCGCCATAATTAACTGGTCTTTTATTTTTTTAACTTTGTAACAAAAGTAATTAATTAGCTAAATTTATAATGTTTTTTTTTCAACTAATTTAACTGCAACAATTTGTATCTCACCAATGTGTATTTGTATGTGAGTTATTGAGGCACATCGCATGAATTTAATTATATTTTATTTTTCGGCCATATTTTTAATTATAATAACAGCAAGTCCAAGTTAACATCTGGCGCCGATGACCATTCGCAGTGCTGTGGTACTTGTTTATCAAAATTTGTTTATTTTCTAAAAAAATGATTTAAAGTTTAATTATAATTAATATATATAATTTTAAGTTAATATAATAATTCTTTTGATTAACAGTAATTGAAGATTTAAGAAATTAATTCCTGGCATTTTGTTGTTTTAATCATTACATGATTGAAGATTTTTGACCTAAATTTTTTAGCTACCTACATTTTTTCTAAATATTTTTTAAAAGTAATCAGTAACGTAATGCTTTATGTAAAAAGTAGGTTTTCATTTATTACCTACATTGTTGGGCTTAATTGCTGCGAATAATAAATAAATATATGATTAATTTTGATTTAAAGCTGGTGTTTATATATTAAGTTAAGTTATGATTTTTGAGTTGATTTAAAATAATAATTGATTACTATAATTTGCTGTAATTGATTCATACAATTGTTTTGTGATATTGATCAGGGTAACTATTTTAATTAATAGTATAACTTTAATTGAGAAAATGCAGTTTACTAATTCTTCATAAATCATCTAAAATAGGATTTGATTTTGTATTTAAAATTGATGTTCAATGTTATTGATGTTTACACGAATGCTATATTGGTTGAGCAAAGATCGCGCAGCTTTTATGTAACTGAATGATTATAATTTTAACTTTTTGATTTAAACTTAAGGTTCACTTATTGAATAATTTCATTTTAAATAGCAGTACTGGTAAAATTAATATCAGAGGTTATTGTCATTTGTTGAAGCTAATCATTAGTAATAATGAGTAATTTGTATTTATCACAGTCGTTAAAATGTGTTGTTTTTTTTCAATATTTAACTAGTTCACATAAAATTCATGATAAAATTCATGGTCACAGGTTAAATGAGTCATGTTTATGAATGTTTCATTTCTAATACTTCTTTACATATTTAATTGTCAGTATTATTTAATACTTGTTTTTCAATATGTTTCATATGGTTAGATAATTCAAAGTAATCATTTGAGTCATATCAGAATTCCTTTTGACTATGGCAATTTTTTTAATTGTGATTTGTTGCATACAATTTTTCTTAAAATTTAAGCTTTAAAATATATGGTATTGTTGTAGTAATGGTAATTTTATACTATATTTTTATGTAAAGGTTTTTTTNTTTAAAATATATGGTATTTTTGTAGTAATGGTAATTTTATACTATATGTTTATGTAAAGGTTTTTTTCAATGATACTAATCAATATAAAATATTTTTGGTAGATGACCCCGATTCAAACCCGCAGGACTAATTTTAATTTGGCAATTATGCCTGGTAATGATGTAGATGCTTGTAAGCAAGCACCGAAGTTTAATTTTACTATTCCGGAATTCTCCGGGAATTGTCAAAATGTCAGTTGGTTTTTGACTCAACTTCAAGAGTTGGTCAAGTTAAATAAATATGAAAATGATGCAGCGTTATATCTGCTAAAATCAAAATTGTCGGGATCTGCTCTTACATTTTTTCAGAATTCTCCTGAATGTAGAGCAGTTACAAAATTTGAGGAAGCATGCAAGCTACTCTTAAACTATTTCCAACAAGATGATTCTTCCTCGGCGGTGTCTCGAATGATCGGAGCAGCTAGAGTGCATACAACACCATACCATCCTTCTAGCAATGGTCTCGTCGAATGCTTTCACAGAGCTCTAAAACAAGGTCTCAAATGCCACCCCAATATAAAATGGACTGAATCCCTTCCCATTGTACTTCTTAGACTAAGATCTGCCGTAAAAGAGGACCTAGGATGCACCAGTGCTGAACTCGTCTATGGAACCCCCCTACGACTACCAGCGGAGTTCTTCGATCCGTCAACTTCAAATGTTGATCCACACGAGTTCCTTCAAAAACTTCGAACCTGCATGTCAGAACTGAAACCAATTCCAACTTCATCACATGCAAACGTAAAAGTTTTCATCCACCCAACTCTTGAATCATGCTCTCATGTGTTTGTGAGACGTGACAGTGTAAAGAAACCTCTTCAAGCTCCTTATGATGGACCATATAGAGTACTCAGTCTGTGACATTGAGTCACCAAATCTTAATTTTTCTGTTGGGATTGTGACCTAGAAATTAGGCCGACACCCCTGAACCCTCTACTGTGACGCCTCACTGTCTGCCGACCTTCACGCCTGTCACCTTCGGCAGCCTTTGATGTCAGCACATGTTTTTAGTTACTGTACGGTCACCGTTAGTGTTTAATTATGCTTAAATTTAAGGGGTTAGTCAACTCACTTCAGTTCGCTCCTTAAGCTAGGTTCTTTTGCTTTTTAGGGAGTTAACTTCCACTTCTGGCCTTTTATATAAATACCACCCATTTTTTTGGAGCGGGCAGCATTCGATTTTTGGTAGCATTCAAAATCTACGATCCCTTAACAGGGATTTTTCATTTCCACCCCCTCCTCTCTTTGAGAGACGGAGTTTTTTTTTGTTTAAATACATGGCGGTCTTTTCTCCGACCCCCTGTGGGTGCGTGAGCTGTCCGGCTCGGCTGTGCTGAAATTCTTTTTTGCCATGGATGAATCTTGGGAGGGCAGATTTTGAGAAGTAAGACTCCAGCGGCATCCCACTCCCGTGTTAAAAAGGGATTTATGTTCCATTCTCTCGCCGTTCCTGTTTTATGATACACCAATAATGTGGTTTTTAAGAAGCTGTCCATGTTAGTAATAATAAGTAATTTGTATTTATACCAGTCTTTAAAATCTGTTGTGTTTTTCAATATTTAACTATTTCACATAAAATTCATGATAAAATTCATGGTCACAGGTTAAATGAGTCATGTTTATGAATGTTTTATTTCTAATACTTCTTTAAATATTTAATTGTCAGTATTATTTAATACTTGTTTTTCAAGATATTTCATATGGATAGTTAATTCAAAGTAATCATTTGAGTCATAATATATATTCCTTTTGATTATGGTAAATTTTTAATTGTGATTGGTTGCATACAATTTTTCTTAAAAATTTAATTTTAAAATATATGGTATTTTTGTAGTAATGGTAATTTTATACTATATTATTATGTAAAGGTTTTATTTCAATGATACTAATCAATATAAAATATTTTTGGTAGATGACCCCAATTCAAACACGCAGTAGGACTAATTTTAATTTGGCAATTATGCCTGATAATAGTAATGATGTAGATGCTTGTAAGCAAGCACCGAAGTTTAATTTCACTATTCCGGAATTCTCAAAATGTCAGTTGGTTTTAGACTCAACTTCAAGAGTTGGTCAAATTAAATAAATATGAAAATGATGCAGCATTATATCTGTTAAAATCAAAATTGTCGGGATCTGCTCTTACATTTTTTCAGAATTCTCCTGAATGTAGAGCAGTTACAAAATTTGAGGAAGCATGCAAGCTACTCTTAAACTTTTTCCAACAAGATGATTCTTCCTCGGCGGATTTAGCAAAATTTCAGGCAATTATCCTCTTGCCATCGGAAACAATCAAAAATCTTGAGTATCGCATAGACACCCTAGCCCATAAAGCATACAGCTTTATCAATGATCAAACTGCCTTGTCTAAAATAAAAGCTATGCAGTTTTTGTCCGCTATTCCTTTGCACCTCAAGGAGACCATTCTCATTGAGGGGATACAGGACAATCGCGAGATGGTCAAACGGGCTAATCATATTGTGTCAATTCAACAGTCTTTGGCTGGTTCAACTACTTCGTTAGTCGCTGCTCATTCAGTAACTCAGTGCACTTCTGCTGCACCTGACCAGCTCACCTTAATTGCTAAACAGCTAGAGTTCTTGACTACCAAAATTGAGACGATGCAATCTAATTGCAAAATTTGTAAAGAAGGACATGATACAAAAACTTGTCCCCTTTTACGTACACCTGTGCAGGGTCAGGATCGGGTTAGACAAGAACAACCCCGAACAACCCCACACCTTACCTGTGCTTTCTGTGGACGCTCTGGCCACATCATGAGTAATTGTCGCACATATCAAAGGCAATTCAGACAAAATTATATGGGCCCGAACATGGCGATGCATTATTTTCCGGTTCAAGGTGAACCATTTCGACCTAGAGTTAATGCTAATAATAACAGGGGAAATAATCCTTTAAACTCTCGCAGGAGGCAGTAAGGGATGGACCTGTCTCCTCATCCACCAAACCATCCAAAATTTGTAATATTAATGATTTCATGTCAGAATCTATGCATAATTCAAATGTAACCATTCGGGAGTTTTTGACTAATTGTGATTATAAAGAAAATATTGAGCACATAAATATTGTGTCAGACGAGGTGAGTCTTCCAACCATTGCATCTAATTTTAGTAACGTTAAAGTTAATTTCTTGCTGGACAGTGGTTCGTCAGTGTCATTGTTGACTCTAGATACTTTTAATAAAATCAGGACTAATAACAAAGTAAAATTTTTATCAAGAAAGGTCCAAATTAGGACTGTCAACTCTCAACTTCAATTTACAGCTTGTGCTGAAATTTCATTTAAGATCAATAACCAGTTTTTTAGACACCAATTTTTNGACTACTTCGTTAGTCGCTGCTCATTCAGTAACTCAGTGCACTTCTGCTGCACCTGACCAGCTCACCTTAATTGCTAAACAGCTAGAGTTTTTGACTACCAAAATTGAGACGATGCAATCTAATTGCAAAATTTGTAACGAAGGACATGATACAAAAACTTGTCCCCTTTTACGTACACCTGTGCAGGGTCAGGATCGGGTTAGACAAGAACAACCCCGAACAACCCCACACCTTACCTGTGCTTTCTGTGGACGCTCTGGCCACATCATGAGTAATTGTCGCACGTATCAAAGGCAATTCAGACAAAATTATATAAGCCCCAACATGGCGATGCATTATTTTCCGCCACAGCTCCCCGTGGCTCCTCCCCGATTTACTGCACCACAGTATCCACCACCACCTATTCCGGTTCAAGGTGAACCGTTTCGACCTAGAGTTAATGCTAATAATAACAGGGTAAACAATCCTTTAAACTCTCGCAGGAGGCAGTA